CCTGAGTAGCTGGGACTACAGGCATGCGCCACCATGCCCAGCTGATTTTTTGTATTTTTAGTAGAGACGGGGTTTCACCATGTTGACCAGGATGGTCTCGATCTCTTGACCTTGTGATCCACCCGCCTCGGCCTCCCAAAGTGCTGGGATTACAGGCGTGAGCCACCGCGCCCGGCCAAGTGTGATAATATTAATAGCTCACTGCAGCCTAAGACTCCTGGGCTCAAGCCTTTTTGGCTGCCTCAGCTTTCTGAGTCGCTGGTGAACAGGATTGCATCACCATGCCTGGCTCAAAGTTACACCATTTAAAAAGTTACTTTAAAAATGAGAAAGACTAAATTCACAGGCCCTGCCTATGGGTCTTTTTGATTTTACATTTTCATTTCATCCACAGTAGATTCTTGTGAGCTTTGCTTTTCTTATCAGCAGTACCACTCTAAATTGTCACCCTACCTCTCGTATAGCTTTCCAGCAAAGTTTCCACCATCGCTAGTTCCTTGCCCATTAAAAAAAAGCTACATTACATGCCTTTTTAGTTCTGTGAGTGAGAGCAACTCAAACTATGATTTGTTCATCAATGTTTATTGAGCAACTACTGTTCACTTAGCAGTGAGAGGAAAGCAGTGAACAAAACACTGCTTGTCTTCATGGATAATACGTTCCAGTGTGGAGAGGCAGACAAACGCGAGGAAATAAGGCAGAATTATGTTTGAGGGTAATATTTGTGAAAAAATATTCCTTTTACTGCTTTTTTTCTGGATATTATAGAGACTTAATCTACTTCCAAATGTTAGCAGAGTGCATGTTATTAGCCTGTTTAACCAGTTGTCCCTAGTCTGCTTATAATCTGAGCTTTAATAACTAGGTAACAGGATATTTCTACCCAAATATCCTGTCTTCAACCCTTTCAGGTACCTCAAATTTCCTAAATATTAACATAATTTTCCAGTAAAATGGCACAAGCAAAAGTCAGTATTCATTGACTTTTGTTCAAGACTGATGAGTACTGCAGAGGACACCTACAGGTGCCATAATTTTTTTCTGATTTTTCTTAGTTGAATTCTGTCACAGTCTTTCACATTTTGACTTGTGCCATGGCTGTTGATAAGTATGAAATATTTTTTGAAAAAGAGTTAAAATTTGTAATGGTTTACAGGGACTTAGAAGAGCTTATTATTCTCATGAGGATAAATAGCTCCTTAGTCCCAGGATATGTGATGCCTCAAGCCTAGAGTGAAGGTCTGAGTTTACCTTCTTCAGCATGTCCTTTAACACACACAGTACCCTACAAATGAACAACATCCTCATGTTCATGTGCCAGACAAAAATAAATAAATAAATTAGGACAAAAGGCATTTGTCCATTTGCAACTATATATTTTTTTTATTTAAGAACATCCTTTTTCCCTTTCAGATCTCCAGGAAACCCATGATAAATCCATAATAACATGTTTATGGTTGTTTTGTTTTGTTTTGTTTTTTGAGACAGGTCTCATTCTGTCACCCAGGCTGGAGTGCAGTGGCATGATCTCGGCTCACTGCAGCCTCTGCCTCGTGGGTTCAAGTGATTCTCCTGCCTCAGCCTCCCCAGTAGTTGGGATTACAGGTGCCTGCCACCACGCCTGACTAATTTTTGTATTTTTAGTAGAACTGGGATTTCACCATTTTGGCCAGGCTGGTCTCACACTCCTGACTTCAGGTGATCCACCCGACTTGGCCTCCCAAAGTGCTGGGATTACAGGCGTGAGCCACTGTGCCTAGTCATGTTTATGATTTTACTAGGCCTTTTCAACGCGGCCGTCATGTTCGGTGTCCAGGTTGTGCTGCAAAGTCCTGATTTTGAGGTATACAGATATCCTGAATTATGCAGATGCTACTTATATGTAGTTTGAGAATTCCTTATCCAAAATGCTTGGGACCAGAAGTGTTTTGTATTTCAAATATTTTTAGATTTTGGAATATTTGCATTGTACTTACCATTTGAGCACCCCTAATCAGAGATCTGAAATGCTCCAATGAACATTTCCTTTGAACATCATGTAGAGCATTCAAAAAGTTTTGGATTCTGGAGCATTTCAGGTTTCAGATTTTTGGATTGAGAATACTCAACCTGTACCTGGTATAGCCAAAGAAGAGGCATTTTCTAAGTATTCTTAGGAATAGTGACATGAATTTTCCTCTGGTCCATTCAAGTTTCATGTTATGACCTAAGTTGTAAAATCTTCAAATCTCTTAAATAAAACATTCAATTGTGCACATCTGAATTCTCCTTATCCTTATAGGAAGGAAGAATCAACAAAAGATGGAGACTATTCAGGAAGTAAGAGTAAGCTACCTTTCCCCCAAAGAGCTTTCCTCCTGTCAGACCTGGCAACAAAGTGCAGGTGGGTTAATCAGGTGTCAAGATTTCCTGAAAGTTTTTCAAGGGAAGAATTATCATTTGCAAGAACAAGGTGATTCCCTCTGCAAGGTTTGGGCAGGAATACCAGTTCAGATTTCTGAAGATGAGAACTATATATTGACTCATATAGGGAATGGCTCCAATTATATAAAAAGTCAAGAGTATCCATCTTGGAGGACACAGCATTCTTGGAGGAAAATATATCTGAAAGAGTCACATAATTATCAGGGTAGATGTCAGCAAATTTCCATGAAAAATAATTTCTGTAAGTGTGACCACATCAGTTGGATCTCACATCACAATGATAAACTAGAAGTACACAGAGAAGAAAACTACAGCTGCCATGACTGTGGAGAAGATATCATGAAGGTATCATTGCTCCATCAGGATTCAATTCAAACAGGGGAGAAGCCCTATCCATGTACTGGGTATAGAAAAGCCTTCAGTAATGACTCCAGCTCTGAAGTTCATCAGCAGTTCCAGTTGGAAGGGAAGTCCTATACGTACAGTTCATGTGGAAAGGGCTGTAGTTATAGTTCACTTCTTCATATTCATCAAAATCTTCAGAGAGAAGATGATGTTATTGAGAATTCACATCTAAAATCCTATCAGAGAGTGCATCCAGAGGAGAAATCATGCAAATGTGGTGAATATGGTGAGAACTTCAATCACTGTTCCCCTCTTAACACTTACGAACTTATCCACACAGGTGAGATATCCTGTAGGCACAACATTTATGAGAAAGCCTTCAGTCATAGCTTTAACCTTAATGGTATTTTTAGGGTCCAAACTAGGGATGAACCCCATGAATATGAGGAAAATGACAATATGTTTAATCAGAGTTCATGTCTTCAAGTCCATCAAAAAATCCACACTGAAGAGAAATTATACAGAGATGTAGAGTATGGAAAGAGTTTCATTTGTAGTCCAAATCTTGACATTCAGCATAGGGTACACATGGAAGAGAATCCCTATAATTCCGAGGAGTGTGGTAATGGCTTCAGTCTGGCCTCACATTTTCAAGACCTTCAGATAGTCCACACTGAGGAACAACCATATAAACGCTATGTGTGTGGTAACAGCTTCGGCCATAATTTGTATTTTCAAGGTCATCAGAAAATTCACATTGAAGAGAAGCCACATAAGGAGTGTGGGAATGGCTTCAACTGGAGCTCAAAACTTAAAGATCATCAGAGAGTCCACAGTGGACAGAAGCCATACAAATGCAGTGCATGCGGCAAAGGTTTCAATCATAGATCAGTTCTGAATGTTCATCAGAGAGTCCACACTGGAGAGAAACCTTATAAATGTGAGGAATGTGATAAGGGATTCAGTCGGAGTTCATATCTTCAAGCCCATCAGAGAGTCCACACTGGAGAAAAACCTTATAAATGTGAGGAATGTGGGAAGGGGTTCAGTCGAAATTCATACCTTCAAGGCCATCAGAGAGTTCACACTGGAGAAAAACCATACAAGTGTGAGGAGTGTGGGAAGGGCTTCAGTCGGAGTTCACACCTTCAAGGCCATCAGAGAGTCCACACTGGAGAAAAACCATTCAAATGTGAGGAGTGTGGGAAGGGGTTCAGTTGGAGTTTTAATCTTCAAATTCATCAGAGGGTTCACACAGGAGAAAAACCCTATAAATGTGGAGAATGTGGTAAAGGTTTCAGTAAGGCCTCAACTCTTTTGGCCCATCAGAGAGTCCACACGGGAGAAAAGCCATACCAATGTGATGAGTGTGGTAAGAATTTTAGTCAGAGATCGTACCTTCAAAGTCATCAGAGTGTGCATTCTGGAGAAAGACCATATATATGTGAGGTATGTGGAAAGGGCTTCAGTCAAAGGGCATATCTTCAAGGTCATCAGAGAGTCCACACTAGAGTGAAACCGTATAAGTGTGAGATATGTGGGAAGGGCTTTAGTCAGAGTTCACGCCTCGAAGCACATCGGAGGGTTCACACAGGAGGGAAACCATACAAATGTGAGGTGTGTACAAAGGGTTTCAGTGAAAGTTCACGCCTTCAAGCACACCAAAGGGTTCATGCAGAAGGGAGACCCTATAAATGTGAACAGTGTGGTAAGGGTTTCAGTGGGTATTCAAGTCTTCAAGCACATCACAGAGTCCACACTGGGGAGAAACCATACAAATGTGAGGTATGTGGAAAAGGGTTCAGTCAGAGATCAAATCTTCAGGCTCATCAGAGAGTCCACACAGGAGAGAAACCATACAAATGTGATGCATGTGGTAAGGGTTTCCGTTGGAGCTCAGGTCTTCTAATTCATCAAAGAGTCCATAGTAGTGATAAATTCTATAAAAGCGAAGACTATGGTAAGGACTACCCTTCATCAGAGAATCTACACAGAAATGAAGATTCTGTTTTGTTTTGAAGTCCTCAAATGGGAGCTGAAATTTTCCAGTCACTAGAGTTCTTTCAGTAGAAAAAGAATTTTTTAAAATTAAAATGTGATGTTTCTGCCCAATTTCAACATTCATAATGGCCAGGAGACCACACAACAGAGACATTTAATGAGAGGGGTTTCATAAGGGATTTTGTTAGAACTTTAACATCAGTCATTGCACAGGAGGTAAGGCTTATAAAATATGAGTATGGTCAGAAATTTAATAAAAGTACAGTGAAGAACATGCCTAAATCCATGTTCTCTAGAATGTAAGCTTGGTAAGAGAAGGGACTTTGTTCATTTCTAGTCTACAAAACTATGACATTTCATAGCTCAATGTAGGTGTTTAGTACTTTTTGCTAAATGAGTAAAAGTATGTAAAGGTACAATGTTTGAATTTTTTTAAGCTTATTTTTTAAAACTTCACTTAAAATGTATTTGGAGGAGGAATCCTACAAGTAATCTTAATGAAATCATTTCAAGTAAATATTATTTGAAATGTAGAACATTAAGCATTATTGTGATCTGAAATAACATTAATTTGGTTGTAACCCTATTGGGGTTGGTTCCCATCCTTTGTTCCATGTTGAGCAGAGATGTGCTGCATTTCTTAACATTTGTTCTCTGTACATTATGCCATCCATTGATTTAGCTTTGTGTGTATGTATATGTCCACGTGTGTGCACTTTAAATAGCAGTACAAACTGATAAACAATGTTTCTGGTTAATGTCGCAAAAATGGAACACTGTATTTTACCTAATTGATTTTCTACTCCTGCCCTGTAAATTAAGGCAGAGTTTTACTATAAGATTCGCAAAGTATCCAAAATGGTTACTGATGACAAATACTTTTTAATAAATGTCAAAGTCACAATACTTATTTTATTCTCCATATTTCTCTCAAAGTCCATTTGATCTGACTGATTTCTAAATGTTGTAGCCTTTGTCCAATCCACACCTCCTTAAGCAGAGTCAAGTTTGAAGCATTTTGTCAAGATTTCAATTCCCATACTTCTCCCACTCACACACAAAAAAGGGGAAAATCTTGAATTTTTCTAAGCATTTTTTATCAATGTATTGACTAGTAGGGTAGGGCTGCCATTTACTTGCTAGTATCTGTCTTCAAGAATGATGCATTTTGTTGGTGAAAGTGAAAAATACAAACTTGTCATCCAATATATATCAAAATACTTATCAAGTCCCTGATATATATTGAAATGTAAAATGTGCATAGCCATCTGGAAGTCATAGAATAATAATTTATAATTAAGCAATTTTTACCAGTAAGGAAGGATTTTACAATGATAGTAATGTTTTAAGCTGGAACTAAAGGTCTATCAATCTGAATTTGGGTAAGTTTCTATATGTTCTATTCTGTGGCTCTACAGAAAGTATATTTAGCTCTAAAATGACAAGAATGGATCATGCATATTGTTTAGTAAAAATGTGGATTGTGGCCGAACACAGTGGCTCACGCCTGTAATCCTAGCACTTTGGGAGGCCAAGGCAGGTGGATCACGAGGTCAGGATTTTGAGACCAGCCTGACCAACATGGTGAAACCCCATCTCTACTAAAAATGCAAAAATTAGCCAGGCGTGGTGGCACGTGCCTGTAATCCCAGCTACTCAGGAGGCTGAGGCTGGAGAATTGATTGAACCCAGGAGGCAGAGGTTGCAGTGAGCCAAGATTACACCACTGCACTCCAACCTGGGAGTTGAGCAAGACTCTGTCTCAAAAAAAAAAAAATGTGGATTGTATGTTCATAATAGCCAGCTAATTTAAGTCTGTGTACATGTATGTTCAAATATATGCTTAGCTATAATGTGTGAAAGATTACACATTATGCATACAGTAGTTTTCTCTGGAAAGCAAAATTTTGGCTTAGCTTTTTGTGCTTTATTTAAAAATATTTATAATGGATATTTACCAATTTATACCAAAATGAACAGCTATGGGTATATTATCCCTTATACTTAAGAACTCATGTTACAATTGCTTATAATATGATTGCTTGATTTCATTGTATGGTATGACCAACAGTAAAGAGTAAACCCCAGCCAGGTGCGGTGGCTCACACCTGTAATCCCAGCACTTTGGGAGGCTGAGGCAGGTGGATCACGAGGTCAATAGATCGAGACCATCCTGGTCAACACAGTGAAACCCCGTCTCTACTAAAAATACAAAAAATTAGCTGGGCATGGTGGTGCATGCCTGTAATCCCAGCTACTGAGGAGGCTGAGGCAGGAGAATTGCCTGAACCCAGGAGGCGGAGGTTGCGGTGAGCCGAGATCGCGCCATTGCACTCCAGCCTGGGCAACATGAGTGAAACTCCGTCCAAAAAAAAAAAAAAAAAAAAAGAGTAAACCCCTTGAAGTTAATTTTTTAATTTTTCTGGATTTTTGAGAATACAGATAAATTAGGTGTCCAATAACTTTAAATTTCTGTGAAATGCAATCCAGTTTTATAAATTGATGCTCACAGCTTTTCCATCAGATTTCCCCTTGGTGGATGAATATGGTGACCAAAGAACTGGTATAATTTGGCTTTCAAGGTGCTGGTTCAAGTTTCACAGTGTCATCAGAAATCCAGGGCTCCTAAAGCATGTCCTTGATATCATCACTTACAGGGGAGAGCATGGTGGTTTCATCAGTTGGAATGCTTTTAGTTCTAAGTAACAGAAAATTTATAGTTGCCTAAACCAAAACTATTTATTCGTTCATATAAATGAAAAGATGCAGATACTGTAAGGCTACGATCTGGGTAAGGTGGTGGGATTTTATATTGCTTTCCTTTAATTCTTTCACCTCTCATTTTTCTTGTGAATTCTTGCCTTCACGTTGTTCACAATATAGCAGCATCACCTGCTTTCTTGTTCACAGCTGAAGGAAGAGATATTCTGTATCATTTTAGTCCTGTGTGGTTCTGGCTCCCCAAAATGCATGGAATCTCTGACACTCTGATTCTCACTAACAACTGAAACCAACCGAGACAACAAAGGACACCGCTGGTCCCCTAGCCCACTCCTAGTGAGAAGCAACAGCAGGCTACCCCGAGAAAAGGGAAGAACATAGAGAATTTTTCTGTGGCCCCAGTGCATAGGGACAGCCAAAAGCTGAGGACAGGGCAGCAAGGAACATTGAGAAAACTTTAGCACTCTCGTTCCCACCCAAAGCACAACATAACACTAGAGAAATTTGAAGCCAGTGATACAACTAAGATAAATCCTACAACAACAAAACCCAATTCCAGTTTAATTCCTGACCAGATTAATTCAGCACTCCACCCTGACATCCTAGCAGAATATGTGTGCCTAGTTTTAGGCCAAAAATAATGTTTTCTTCAGTCTCTGCTGTTCTGCATATGTTATCTGGCATTTTATTTAAAAAATACAAGATTAAAAGCTGAGAACAATCTTCTGCCAGTAGATAGCAGACCAATCAATAAAACCACACTTATAGATAACCATAGTTTGGAACTGTTAGGGAATTTTACATAACTGATTGGTGTGCTAAAGACTCCAGTGAAAAGGGCAGATAATATTCATGAGCAGATGGCGATTGCAGTAAAATTTAATAGTCAAATGAGAAATGCTAGGGAAAGAAAATTTATGCTACTACTTTTACTTTTATCAGAAAGCTCTTGAAGACTTGTGAGTAGGCTCAACATAGTTGAGAAAAGTGTCAGAGAACTTCAGTATAAGTCAATAGAAATCACCCAAACTAAAACACAGAAAGTGTGAAGAAAACAATACAAATCAGACAACATTGTAGGCTGTAAAATTTGCATACTTGGAAACCCAGGGGCAGGTGGACAGAATGGGAAGAGAAGATATTTAAAGAGATAATGGCTAAGAATTTTCCAAAAATAATAAGACCTCACTGACATTCAAGAACCTCAGAATGCCAAAGCAGTATTTTTAAGAAAAGAACAAAATTAGATGCATTATTGCCAAATAGCTAAAAATGGACAATGCAAAGAAAATATTAATGGCAGACAGAGGAAAGGGACACATTACATTTAAGCAGCATAGTGTGAAAAACATCAGATTTATCATAATCACAAACCATGCAAGCAGAAGACAATGGAGTTACATCTTTTAACATTTAGAAACAAAAAACAAAGATCAATAAAAAATTCTAAGCCCAATGGAAAAAAAATCTTTCAGAAGGCATGCAAAATAAAGATATTTTCAGATGAACAGAAGCTGATAGAATTCACTGTTAGCAGACCTACACTGTAAGAGGTATTTAGCATACCAGAAATAGACTTGGATCTACCAAAAGGCATAACTATGAAAATGGTTATTTCAATCAAGTATAAAATATTTTTTATTTTTATTACTCCAAAATATAATTCAGTAAAGCAAAATTAGGAAGTTTTATGAATTTAGAGGACATATAAAAATAAGATGTTTTGTAAGAACACTGCAAAACAGGGAAGACAGAAATTAGAAATATGCTAGCAGAAATTAGAGGTATATGGTTGTACTTTGTACATGAATTAGCATAATATGACTTGAAGATAGACTGAGAAAAAATATAGATTTATGTTTTAAGCCCCAGAGTAACCATTTAAGAATTTTTTAAAGTGGTACAACTCATAAGCCAGTAGTAGAGATTAAATTCTGTTTCCAAAAATAGCAACATAGAAGCAAGCTGGCTTCAATCCTTCAACAGAAAACTACAGGCAAATATACAGCACCAAGATTATCACCAGCAATATCCCAGAACTCAAATATGAGGAGGAGACAGTTCCTGAAAACAAAAATAAGTGAAAAAACTGGGCAGATGGTAAGAGAATTGGACTTTTCTATGGACAGTGCTCCTCTCTCTAATCTGCCTGGCACCAAGACTGTGGAAAATTTTCCCCTGGGTCACAGTTTTTACACTGGAAAAAGTGAATCAAGATGGACAACCAGCCTCGCTATCTTGGGTTCCCCTGACAGGAGACTTGTCTTTGAGTCAACCCACAGGAAGCATCAGTAGTAATCAAAGAGAAAAATGTCCCTGAGGACAGCCAGAGATGAAGCAGGGAGGTGGGAATACTGTCCCAAGTCATGGAAACTACTCTGCAACTCAGCCAAAGGAGACACCATTCAGAGTGGGTTCAAGATATTTCTCTGGCTTAATATTTGTATTGCCTTTTTGTGGGTTCTTAGTATATTAGAACGAATAGCACATTAAACAAAACACTTGTCAAGAGCCCTTAGGTACCTTGCGGAATAATGGAGTGAAAGGAGTCAAACACTTTACTCACTTCTCTCCTCCCCACCAATCCCTAAATATACACAGCTTGGACACTAAGGAGTAAAACTTCATTCCTCCTTCCCTCCTCTCTCACAGATACGGAAGGGGGACACAGAAGTGCTGAGGAGAAGGGTGTGGTCCCTCACTAGGGCTCCGCCCCCAGGCCTGTGGCCTGGGACCTAGTCAGGACAGGTATTCCTGCCTTTGCGCCCAAATGTTGCGTTTCCCAGGACCACCCTGGCCCACCACGCCCCCATCCAGTGCCTATAAAACCCCTGAAACCCTAGCAGGCAGAGACACAAGCCGCTGGACGTTGAGAGAAATGCACTGGCGGACACACAAACGGCTGGATGTTGAGAGGCCGTGAAGGGGAGCAGGTCAGCAGAAGGACACGCTGAAGAGACCGGCAGGCCAGCAGGCCATCAACAGGTGGAACAATGCAGAGTTTGGCCTGGGTAGTCGGAGGAGAGCGCAGGCCACTGAGTGGCTGACTCCAGGGGAAAACCATCTCCTTTCTGGCTCCCCTATCTGCTGAGAGCTACTTCCATTCAATAAAACCTTGCATTCATTCTCCAAGCCCATGTGAGATCCGATTCTTCCGGTACACCCACGCAAGAAACCCTGGGATACAGAAAAGCCGTCTGTGCTTGCGGTAAGGCAGGGGGTCTAACTGAGCTAACACAAGCTGCTTACAGATGGCTAAACTAGAAGAGCACCTTGTAACACATGCCTACGGGGCCTTCAGGAGCTGTAAACATTAACCCCTAGCCACTGCTGTCAGGTTGGAGTCCTACAACCTGCCCGTGTTCATGTTCCTCCTAGAGGTTGGAGCAGCTGGGCACCAAAGAAGCAAGCCACAGCCCCATCACATGCCCTGCGAGGGGAACAAGGGAACTCTTCCTGTTTCATCACAATTTACTTTCTGCACTAACATGATTGTTCAGCTGTCTTCGTTAGCAGGCCTTTATTCCAGGAGATTCCTGCCCAAGCAAACTGTTTAATTGTTCATTACGGGAACTTCCACAGCGACCCATCAAATTTTCAATCTCTTCCAAAGAAAGTATCAACAGATTGCACCTTAAAATTCTTTGCTTCAAAAATCCTTGCTATATCCACGAATCCTGGACTGTAGTATCATGATCATTACACAATCCTAATAGAATTCCTTGCATTAAAAGACCCGCCTTAAACATCCAATTCTCAATCAGTTCCAACTTTGCCTTGACACTTTGCTCTGTGAAGGTGCCAACGCTCTGTCGAGGTGCCAACGAGTTGCCAATGCTCTGTTCTCCGTTACTGCAATCAATAAATTCTGTGTTTTGTCTTATCAACAGGTTGAGTTGATGACATTTGACACAAGTTTGAAATACTGTGTTCCTTAACGTTCGGCGTCCATCGGAGTTCAGCCTAAGTCACTTTTATGCTTCCCATTTTTAGCCTACCCTTTGCTTCTGCTAAAAATTTTGGTTTCTAACTTATTTTCATAATATAAGCTGCACTTTTCTTTTTTATATGACCTCACTTCTAAAATTTTATAATTATTTTTTCATGAGCTTTTAAAAATGAATAAAACAAAAAGGAATCTGACAGTAGTAGCGCCGGAGAAGAGGCTCAATTAAACCAAACTCAGCTGGTGGGAAGTGTTGCCCTTTGGAGCATTATGGGAACTGTAGTCCACGAGTGAGAGAACTCTGAGACGCTTCCGCTTAGGAATTCTGGGAAGTGGAGTCCACGAACTATGTGCAGTCAGAGGCACTTCCGCTCCAGGAAGGGGAGGTCGGTTCTGAGGTTGCTCTCGGGGAGGTGAGTCAGCCCCGGGTCTGGAAGACTTCTCCGAGCCCTCTTTGCCTGGGCGTGGGGCCAGCGATGAACCAGTCCTTAGCTTGGGCCAGAGAAGCCGCGGCCAGCAGTAGAGGACGGGGTTGGGAGGCGGTGGGAGTTTGCGTCCCCTCGGCGGAACCTCCTGCGTTGGGGGCGGGCTCGCGTCGTGCTTCGAGGCTGAGGGTCTCCAGCCGTCGCTGCTGCCTCAGCCCTCCTCACACACACACCAGCCAGCCCTGCCAGCGCCTCGCAGTAAAATATTGGGCAAGTTACTTAATCTCTCCTTGTCTCAGTTTCCTCGTGCCTGTAAAGGGTTAGTGCGTTGCCAGTGATGTTTTTGTGAGAATTAAGTGAGATTTTATAGAAATAAGCTTAAAAACAGTGCATAGGAAAATGTTGGATGCCACCGTTAATTCTGTTATAATACTAAAAAAGACGTCTGTTGTTTGGAAACTCCTCTGTGCCTGGGATGGGGTCGGAGATCCAGTTACGGACCCGCTGTCCCTTCTCTAATCCTTGCCTGATGTGGGGCCGTTCTGGGATTCTTGGACTTTTTTTCTAGCTGCTTCTTTAGGAGACAGGAGATTAGTTTCAGCCGGAGCCCGCGGAATGTACTCTCTGTTTTATCGCAGAGAAGTGGTCGTCATTACAGATTTGCAGAGTTCTAGAGATGTCCTGAGGTCCTAATAACTGTTCAGTATTCAGTATTATGTGGTTATTACCAGTAATCCCGTGTGGTTAACTTAAGTGCAGCACCATTTCTTAGAGAGTTTTAGGCTTTTATTAGTCATTGCTTTCATGCGTATGGGAAAAGAGACTTTCTTGAAGCTCCTCCAGCTCAGTAACATTTGCAAGTAATTACATCTATTGGGGGAAAAAAATCTGTGGCAGTTTAACTATCATTACTAACGGAACTAATTATATGTTAGACAGCCAGTCACAGACTTTTCTGAGGGTAATGGTAACTCACAGGACAGAGCAATTATCTTTGAGTTCTGGGTTTCTTAAAAGACTCATTCTCTAGAAAGCATACTCAACAAGGGTAGTTTTGTGAAGCATAATAGCACTTGCTTGTCAGAAGCTGCAGGAGAGAGAGAATACAGGCATTATTATTGTCCTCATTTACAAGTGACTGAATTAAGGCACAGAGAGATTAATAACTCGCTAAGGCTTATACTGCTGATCAGTAGAAATGCCAAAATTTGAAGCCAGGTATTTTGACTCTGTTACATTACCCTGCCTGTTTGTGTCTCATTTCCTTAGACACCAAGGTTCAGAAGGAGTACACAGGGAGGTGCATTTGATTTAGGTTTGTTAATATGAAATGTTCATGAACAAAAGCAGCTGGTTGAGAGAACCCAGTGGTAGCTGGGATCCAGCTCCTGTTCTCACTAAGCTGTGTGCAACTGTGTCTGCCTAGAGAAAGGGGGACCTTTCTCCAAAGTGTCACATCAAGTGCCATGTTGACTAATGGCATCCCTAACCTATCTCATGATGCCTTTCCCTCCCCCAGGCTTGCTCCCCCAGAACTCTGCCTTTTCCCAAAAGGAAGAGAGGGAAAATGACCAAGTTCCAGGTAAGCTTGGCTTGCCTTTCTGTTTCTTAAAATGACATTAAAAATTTAATGTCTCGTTTCACAAAGATTGGACACATTTTTCCTGTTTAGGAAGAGTAAAAGAGTAAAATCTTTCAAGGCACTTGAAAGATTGTTATATGCCAGGCTCTTGCCTTTTATTTCCAAATAATAGTATGAAAATTAACATATATATATACACACACACACACACATATATACATATATGTTTAGAGACACAGTCTCACTCTGTTTCTCAAGCTGGAGTGCAGTGGCATACTGCAGCCTGGGCCTCCTGGGCTCAAGAGATCCCCCCACCTTAGCCTCTTGAGTAGCTGGGATCACAGGCATGCACCACCACAACCGGCTAATTATTTTTACTAGAGACGGGGTGTTCCTGTGTTACCCAGACTGGTCTTGAACTGCTGAGCTCAAGCGATCGTCCTGCCTTGGCTTAACAGATATGTTCTTTAAATGGAAAACAGCTCTCACATTACAAATGTGTTTACAAATCATTTTCCACATTCCTTTTCACTTGTATTCACAAATGTGTATAATCATGCTTTAGGTACAATTTTGAATTTTTTAAATTTAATTTTGTATCACCTAGGCTTTAAGTGATCTGGTCATTTTTCCATAGTTTACATGATTTTATTTTTCCTCATTCTCCATGTTTACCTAGTCTATGAATTTTGCCATTTTAAGGACATTGATGATAGCAGTTTTTCCCCATATAACTTCTCTTTCCAAATAAGAATTCTGAGAATTCTGTTTTTTTGTTTATCAAGTTTAGACTCATTTTCTCATACACAGCACCTCATTTTATGGAGAAAATAAAGTTTAGCTTGGTGCAATTGCATCTGATACTAAACTCAGAGAAAACTTTTAGTTTCACATGAGAGCTAGATTTCTTTACGTAAAACCTTGTATTATAGTTAAGTATCTGCTTTATTCATTAACGTGTTATTATATTTTAAAGAAGTACATATTTAGTTTAAAAGCCTTATAGCACTAGGAGATTCACCAGGAATTTGCTCCATGGAATGGCTTTTTGAGGATGGCCTTACCTGTATTTTAAATATAAGAGACAGGTGTGAACCTTCAGACATTTAATGAAGTTCACTCAGTGCCCAGCTGACGTTAATGCTTTCAAGTGCCTAAGCCATAATTTTCAGGTGTTCCATTTGGGTGATGAAGAGACTCAGGACCAGGTGCAGAGGCTCACCTGTCATCCCAGCACTTTGGGGCCGAGGTGGGTGGATCACTTGAGGTCAGGAGTTTGAGACTAGCCTAGCTAACATGGTGAAACCCCATCTCCACTAAAAATACAAACATTAGCTGGGTGTCGTGGCACATGCCTATAATCCCAGCTACTCGTGTAGGTGAGGCAGGAAAATTGCTTGAACCTGGGAAGTGGAAGTTGCAGTGAGCCAAGATTGTACCACTGCAGTGCAGCCTGGGCGACAGAGTAAGATTGTCTCAAAGAAAAAAAAAAAAGAGACTATTTAGGGACCTGAGGCTATGCTACGTGTATATGTCCCTGGCATGTCCTGGTGAATGAAGGGCTCCAAAAATAACATTGTTCTTCATCAGATTCCCTTTCTCAGTGCATGGCTCTTCCTCAGATGTGTCATCAAGTTATTTACTACATAGATGTTCAGAACTCCGGCCAAAACAAATGCAGGGATGAGCAGTGTCTTCAGATTTTAAAATGTTCATTTCCTTACAGAAGAACACCGTATGCAAACTTTGAGCCAAATAGGAAAGAGGTGCAGGGGTAGGAGTTTATATATTCTAGAAAAACAC